CCTCATTTGCATGTAACTTTTCTTATATATACATCGGTTGGCCTACTTCTTCCATTTTAAACCGATTTTTATCCCTTTTTGTTTATTTGAACTACAAAGAGGTCACGACAGTGCATGACAGTAGCGTCGTTTTGAAAGCATTCCACTTTGGCCTATATTTGACGACTTTTCCAAAGACATTTATCCACGATGTCGAAATTGCAGTCGATGGCGATTATGGATTACTTCTGATTTCCCGGTGATGTGAGTTTTTGCGTCCAAGTTTATTCTTTTTGAATGGAGGACATTGTTTTCCTGAAAAGTTTGGAATGATATTTTCAAAATAAAGCGTACTTCTCTCTCTCGTAAACCTGCAGGTACGAGGGTACACCGCCTAGAATGGAGCAGGGGTATTGCAAGTTAACAATAATGGGCTCAGAGTACGAAAGCGAGATTCCACTCAGCAACTTCGTCCAAACAAGCAGGTTTGGGGGGAGGGGGGCAGCACAGCCGGGGAGAACTGTAGCGTACATGTAAATGACAGAAAAAAAGAGTGGAACAGCAACTGCACTCACGATTTCACTGGGAGTTAGAGCCGGCATCAGTTCGCACACCGCCTTGGGCTTGAGCTGGCATAAATCGACAGGCCGTGTACAACAGACCTTCAGGAAGGCTCGTTCTGGCTCCCGGAAGAAACAGTCCAGCTTATCGAAACGCACGTCTTCGTGGCAGACGCCAAAAAAGCTCTGGACGAAATTCCACACGGCGTGACGATAGGGCCCTGTGTCCACCTCGGTAAGATTGTTTAGGCTGGAAGGAGAGAGAAAGAGAGAGGAGTGACAGTGTGTGTGTGTGTGGGTGGACTAAGAAATATTGGGCGAGGCGATGGGGGGGAGGGGGTGTGGTTGGCATGGAGATAAGGGGGCTTAAACTCACGTGTTATAGGTGAGTTCATAGGCATTGCAGAACTCATCGTCCAACATGGAGCCTAGATCAGAGGCCAGACGGTCGACCAGCATGAAACCGTCCTCACTCCATGAGAATTCCTGAAAAAAAAGAAAACGAAAATGAGGGAAGGTCAAAGAAAAAGGTGACAGATGTCCCTCGGACGATATGCCTCCACCGCAAGACGCTTTTGCAAAAAGCAAAAAACACAGGATAACGATATGGTAAATGGAAAGGGCGTTAGACCAGTAGCTTTATCAAAAACACTAAGCTTAAGCGGCCAAGAGAATGTAGTTTTTTGCAAGAAACCGTTTGGTATCCCACTAGGCAGAGTGATATAAGTACCCCTGATACTACAAGCGACTGCACTAAATTGAAGAAGAGGTAAATTTGCCCACATCCCAACTTTACCATGCATCGTAACTCCAACCCTAACCTCCATTGAAATTTAGGGCAAGCGCGCACTACTGTAGCACCG